CTCTCTCTCTCTCTCTCTCACACACACACACACCTGAGCTTTTCTTTTTGCAATATGGCCGACACAGCTTGACACCAGAAACACTCCCCCGCACACAATATGCTCCTGTGTCATCACCATTTTTTCTACTGGTGAATTCATTGATGTGGCATATGGCGAGAAAATACTTTTAAAAATAAAGACAACGAACATTACTCGCAGCGAAACATGACATTTTTTTCGATGTTGGGTTGTTTGGCTCACGTACAGGAAGTGCTCCTCTGGCCCCGTGTGTCACGTTGCCGTCACTAATCTGTCTGTAATCCTCCTCAGAGCCAGCAGAGGCCCCCTCTGCCTGCAGGACTTCAAGCTGGTGGCTGTGCTCGGCAGGGGCCACTTTGGAAAGGTGCTTGTGCTTCTGTTTCCCTCGAGATGAGCAACACGGGAGCGTTTAGCAGCAAAACCTTAATAAACACAGTCTGCTGAGTGTGAACATGAAAAGATTGTTCAGGTTAGAAGATAGATTGGATTTGCGTTTTTGTTTTTCCGAGTGATTAACGAAGCGTTGGACTCTGCAGGTGCTGCTGTCGGAGTACAGACGGACCAGCAGCCTTTTCGCCATCAAAGCCCTGAAGAAGGGCGACATCGTCGCTCGGGACGAAGTCGAGAGGTAACGGCGGCGACCTCGAGTCACGACAGGAGTTCATTCATTCGTTCACGTTCTGTAACTGACTGTCTCATCGGCGTGCCCCGCCTCCCCTCCTCTGTCTGTCTCCAGTCTGATGTGTGAGAAGCGGATCTTTGAGACCGTCAACGGCTCCCACCACCCCTTCCTGGTCAACCTGTTTGCATGTTTCCAGACACCAGAACATGTTTGTTTTGTCATGGAGTACACGGCGGGAGGAGACCTCATGATGCACATACATGCTGACATCTTCTCTGAGCCGCGTGCTGTGTGAGTTCTGTGTGTGTGTGTGTGTGTGTGTGTGTTTTCTCAGAGTGTGTGTGTGTGTGTGTATGCTCACACAACCTATTGATGTCTTAAGCGTGACTACGTAACAGCGTGCGTCTCCGCGTGTCGTGTGTGTGTGACAGGTTCTACTCGGCGTGCGTGGTGTTGGGTCTGCAGTTCCTTCACGACCATAAGATTGTGTATCGGTGAGTCGGCGGATCGTCTCCAACACACACACACACACACACTCTTTTCTCTAAACTCCGTATCTGGTGTGAAACCGGTTTTCTTTTCTTCGTCAGGGATCTGAAACTGGACAACCTGCTGCTGGACACCGAGGGCTTTGTGAAGATCGCAGACTTCGGGCTCTGTAAAGAAGGTGAGCGTCCATTATTTATTCAACACATCACTCTCCGTCACCAGGTGAAGAACAAAGTTCCGTACATTAACAAACTTTCTTGCTCTGCATTATTCATCACACGTCTCTCATCGCACGGTCAATAATCCGTCCTCACGCTTCAGATCAGTCCTCCCCTCACCCTCCTCTGTCTTTGTCTCCCTGAGGAATGGGATTCGGGGACAGGACCAGCACCTTCTGTGGGACCCCTGAGTTTCTGGCCCCTGAAGTGCTGACTGACACGTCGTACACCAGAGCAGTGGACTGGTGGGGCCTCGGGGTGCTCGTCTACGAGATGTTGGTCGGAGAGGTGAGAGGACACGAGCGATTCGATTAGTCAAAGGTCAAGTTCACGATATTTAACTATTTGTCTTCTCCTTTCAGTCTCCGTTCCCGGGTGACGATGAGGAGGAGGTTTTCGACAGCATAGTGAACGATGAAGTGCGTTACCCTCGCTTCCTCTCCACCGAGGCCATCGGCATCATGCGACGGGTGAGACTCAGCCTTGTGCTCCTAGTTTCCTCAAATAATTAAAGTTGTTTATTTGACTTCTCGGAGTTCAAACGTGTTTTTCTTCCGCTGCTTGTTTCTCTGTCTTCCAGTTGTTGAGGAGGAATCCTGAGAGACGTCTGGGCTCCGCGGAGAAAGATGCCGAGGATGTGAAGAAACAACCTTTTTTCAGAGTGAGCGTGAACTTTTAAAAGCTTTTCTCTCAAACAAGGAAACTGAGTTCAAGGTTTAATGATAGAAGAACTGACAGGGGCAATTATTTTATATATATA